CACACACGGATGCACAAACACACAGACAGGCATCAGCCTGCCTTAAAGCCCTCGTGACCCCCAAGGTGTCCCCTGTATCCCTTCATTTCTTTCAGGCTCTCGCTCTAAGACTCTCTCAGATCCTTCTGGTTCGAGGACAGAGCAGCTACGTTTATTTCTCCCATGCGCTGTTTTGCCCTTTTGCCCGCAATTTTTGTTCGCTTTTTTTCGTCCTCTTCCTTCACAGGGTTATCCCCGCTGCGGCCTGTCCCACAATCTTTGTGAATGAAACAACGAACTAGATTTATTTTTTTCCTCTCGGCTTGTGATAATGGGCGCAAGGATGTCCAGATGTTACCTGTGCCCAAGAAGTTCCCACACTGGGTGACCAGGAAACTTTGATGTCGAGCATTGAGGTTTTCAACCCGACCTGAAAGAATGATCTTGAAACCCTGCACAATTACTTTTCCTCATTGTTTTCTTTTTTTTTATTTTGCACGTTCAAAGAAACCACCCAAAGATGCAATCTCGTTTCATGTTGTGCTTATGGTGGGCTCCGACAAGGGTAATTTTTTAGAAAACCACTGTCCTATCCATCATTGTACCTTTGTCCTGCTCTTACCGTCCCTGCACAGCTTACGCAGCATATTACTGGCAGTGCCGCGCTGGTCTGGATGGCCATTTTTTTCCAACTAGAGCTGTAGTATTCTTCGTGATCTTGAGGATGGTTTTCAGTAGAATGAGGTAAACCGGTGGGAGGAACAGATTTGACCCCTGTCTCGCTTCCGGAATCTGTGTTTTTAATACTTTCACGGCGGAGGCTGGGGTACATAGGAGGTAACATCCATGCAGGGACGAAAACGACAACATAGTGGACATTCCATGCAACATGGGGGTCCTTGGACTTAAAGTCCGGTGTAATGCATTGGACCTGTTTGTCAAAAGCGATGGGGACCATAATTCCACACGTACCACGCAAATCGACAATAGATACTACCAAGTGCCAAGCTTGCAACGCCTACATGGTGTGAAAGATATTGTGCAAGGGTGTCAGAAAGGTTTTGAAAAATCGTGAGGTAAAAGATCGTCTGTGCGAGAAAAGTTGTATCAAAGATGGTGTGGTGATAAGTGGTGTGTGACAAAGTGGTGGGTCAAAGATGGTATGTGACAAAATGTTGTATATAGATGGTATTGAAAAAGATAGTGTGTGATAAAGAATACATCGTGAAACAAGGTATGGTGAAAGATGGTGTGTGAAAAAGGTACATGAAAAGGATGGTGTAGTGCAAGGTGTGTGATAAAATTGTATGTGAAAAGTTGTGTCGGTAAAAAATGTTATGGGGAAAGTTTGTGTGTGATAATGGTTTATATGAAAAATAATG